GGGGGCGTATCTGTTGTCCAGAGGGACACCCCTGTACGGGGATTGGAGCCTGCATCCAGCAGTGTTGGAACAGATTTGGATCCGGTTCGGCACAGCCGTAGTGGATCTTTTTGCCTCCAAGGAGAATGCTCAGTGTCCTCTGTTCTTCTCCCTGCGCGACCGAGACGCTCCACTCGGCGTGGACGCGCTGGCGCACGACTGGCCACGGGGACTGCTTTACGCTTTTCCCCCAGTGGCCCTGATACCACCCACCTTGCTGAGGGTACGAACCCAGCTCCACACTCTCATTCTGGTGGCCCCATACTGGCCAGCCATGCATTGGGTGGCGGACATTTTCCAGCTCCTGGAGGGCCAACCTTGGAAACTTCCGCTTCGCAGGGACCTGGTGTCCCAAGCGGGAGGCTCGGTCTTCCACCCTCATCCAGAACGGCTGGCCCTGTGGGCCTGGCCCCTGAGGGGTGCGGGCTAGTGTCAGCAGAGCTGCCCCAGGCAGTCATTCGAACCATTCAGAATGCTAGGGCCCCCTCCACTAGGTCCCTATATGACTGTAAATGGAGGGTGTTTGAAGCCTGGTGTCAGGGCAGGGAGGTCTCACCCTTCCAATGCCCAGTGAACGTCATTCTGTCTTTCCTGCAAGACTTGTTGGATGGGAAGAAGGCTTTCTCCACCATTAAAGTGTACCTAGCAGCCATTTCCGCCCGACACTTGGGTTTTGGGAAGAAACTGGCAGGTCAACACCCCCTGGTGTGTAGCTTCATGAGGGGCGCGCACAGGCTTCTCCCTGTGTCTCGACCCCTGGTGCCCTCATGGGATCTGTCCTTGGTGCTGTCGGCCCTCTCCGGGCCTCCATTTGAACCTATGGACGGCCTGGACCTTAAGATCCTGTCTCTTAAGGTGGTGCTACTCCTGGCTTTGGTATCTGCAAAGCGAGTTAGTGACTTACAGGCTCTCTCTGTGCACCCATCCTGCACCCAGTTTGCACCCGGTGACATGAAGGTGTCCCTGAAGCCCAACCCTGCCTGTGTGCCTAAGGTAGTGGGCTCCTTTTCTCCTATTATCCTCACAGCTTTCTACCCGCCACCCTTCTCCTCTCCTGAGGAGGAGCGGTGGCACAAGCTGTGTCTGATTCGCGCGCTCAAGGAGTATGTGAATCGGACGGAGAACCTTCGCAGGGGGGACCAGCTTTTTGTGTCATGGGGTGGGCCTCGTAAGGGGAAACCCGTCACAAAGCAGAGGCTTTCCCACTGGATTGTGGAGGCTATTTCTATGGCTTACTCCTGTCAGGGCATTCAGGCTCCTGTTGGGCTCAGGGCCCATTCTACTAGGGGCCTGTCTGCTTCTTGGGCCCTTTTTCGGGGGCTGTCAATCCAGGAGATTTGTGCTGCAGCAAGTTGGGCTTCTCCACTTGCATTTGCACGCTTCTATAAGCTTGATGTTTCGGTCCCTGCAATGACTCACACGATTCTGAGTGTGGGGTCTTTGGCGGGCCAAGACGTATCCCTGTAGGTTGGTGATCGCTGGATAAGCTGTCTGGCAATACGGGAGTCTCCATATCCCATAGTGAGACATCGAAACGAATGTTAAGAAAGAGAACTTTAGGTTACTGTCGTAACCCCGGTTCTCTGAGTAACATGAGTGAGATGTCTCACCAGACAACCCTTCTTGCTGGGCGAAGCGAGAAGAGGTGTTTATCTTGAATAGTGCGTGCGTGGGGACGCTTGCTACTTATAGTAGCAGGGGGACGCGTACGTCACGGTCACTGGCCAATCAGGATTGGCGTATTGAGATAAGTGCTTCTGAGGAATCCGCGGAGGGGCGTATCCCATAGTGAGACATCTCACTCATGTTACTCAGAGAACCGGGGTTACGACAGTAACCTAAAGTTTGCTTTCATACTTCTCTGCCTCCTGGGGAGTGTTGCAAAGCAATTTTCCGGCAGGACAACAGAGGGCGTAGCGCTGTTTTGTGGTATCCTGTCAGGTATCCGGTCCAAGATAGTATGTTTATATTATGTTTTTTGTGTATATAAGAGACTTTTAACATGGACATATTTGTCTCTCATTCTCCCACCGCTTCATGCGCTCCCCACCTCTAAACCCACGTTTCCTGTCATTTCCGTCCACAAATAAAACGCTTGCTGCGCATCTTTTCACACCTCCAGTCACGGGGAATTAAACGTTCATATTTTTAGAGTTTTTTCGCGAGGTATTCTTCAAGCTTCTCCGTGTCTGCCGCTAGTTAAACTCGGCTCTCTTTGCAATGGCGGCGCTGTAAACAACAGCGGCGTCCTGACCAATCACAAGCTTGTGTAATCCGTCTCGTTCGACAGATGTTTAAAAAAGTGTGCTCGACTCCGTACGTACTTGCGTGCCTGCCGGAGCCCTACGCAAGGACGGGTAATGGCGTTGCGTGTCTCCGCACTGATGCAGACGGAGAAGCATAAATCAGGCTTAACATTTAAAACTGTAATCATTTCCAGCTTTGTTTGCTTTTGATACAAGAACAAAAGTTTCCCATTTGGCCCGCAAAGAATCCTGGGAAAGCTTTCGCCAGTACGGAAACACCAGACTCGTCTTTGAACTCTGAGGCCTAGTCCACACGTAGCCGGGGTTTTTTAAAAACGAATATCCGCCCCTCCAAAAACTTGCATCCACACCACCGCGTTTTAAAAACAAACTCTGTCCACACGTACCCGGATAAATACGTTGTTATGGACATGCCAGACCTGTAGGCGGCAGTACTTCCCTCGTTCTTAACCTCGTCCTTCGTCTGTGGTCTTCCGCAAGGAGCAGTAATTCCGCTTGCAAAAACAAACAAGCAAAAAGCGCTTGGACAATTGATGGATCGGGTTGTGACAGAGCGCAGCTCTGAGGGCATCCATGCTGTCGGCTAGTGTAAACACAGGTCGCACACGTGATGTCAGCATTTTTTGTCGCGGAAAGTGACGTTGCGGACCTTAAAACTCCGTTTTTGTCCGTCCACACGCAGACACCCAAAACGGAGAAAACGCAGAGCTTCACTTTGGCTGGAGTTTTTAAAAAGATCCGTTTTCGTGTGAAAAAACTCCGTTTTCGTGTGGATGACAGGCCAAAACGTAGAAAAATATCTACGTTTTGGCAGATCCCCGGCTACGTGTGGACAGGGCCTGAGTGAAACGAGGACGCATTTGAGAATTCATCACATTTGGTGTGTCTTATAGCTCATCATGTTTGTCTGTACTTGGATGAATGCAGCCCCTGGATTTGGACATTATGAATATGTTTTTGATTTTTTTGCCAACAGTTTCAGCCCAGTGAGGAACTGGTTTTAGCGTGTTGTTCATCACCATTTAAACTGGGTCGGTACGAGTCCATTAAATGGTGACTGGATGGATCCAGACCCTAGTAGATTAGGATGCAGATCTTTGCACATATGCAACCCTTTCAGATGTTATTGTGCAAACTGATTTGTAGTAGATTAATATTTTCATTTTATAGACTAGGGACCCATGATGGCATCAATATCGGCCATTAATAGTTTACCTTTTTGGGTGGTGAGGGGTTGTGGTCATGTGACATTGATGCACTGCAGGAATGTGGGGTGTTGAGTTGAAGTAGGGATGCACAATTTATCGGCATCAATCCGATATTAACATTATAATCTTAATATTGGGGTGACGGTGGCACAGGAGTTAGGTGCTCGCCCCGTAATCAGAAGGCTGCAGGTTCGAGCACCGCTCAGTCTGTCACTGTCATTGTGTCCTTGGGCAAGACACTTAACCCACATTGCCTGCTGGTGGTGGTCGGAGGGACCGGTGGCGCCTGTGCTCGGCAGCCTCGCCTCTGTCAGTGCGCCCCAGGACAGCTGTGGCTACATCGTAGCTCATCACCATCAGTGTGTGAATGTGTGTGAACGGGTGAATGACTGGTTGTGTTGTAAAGCGTCTTGGGGGGTTCCAGGACTCTAGAAGGCGCTATACCAAATACAGGCCATTTACCATCAACAACCGATATTTTTTTCCATCTTGTTTCCGTTTTTGTTTATCTGTTTCAAAGGGTGAGGGAGGGTGATGTGTATTTGTTTATAGTCACGTGACAGTGATTGTAATCATCACAGAAGCGTAAATTTGTGTGGTGTGTGTGTACATAACGTAAATTCAGCTTTAATAATTTTCATTCTATACAAAATCTGCTGATTTTAAAAGCATTGTTAGTACATCATATCAGCAAATATCGGTTATCAGCCATAACAGTGATATTAATATTGGATATCGGTATCAGCCCAAAAATGTCATATCAGTGCATCACTAAATGCAGGTGGTGCGGTCACTTCTACAAGATGAAACATAGTACTTAATATCGATAAATATCGACCAAAACGGCAGTATTAGTATCAGATATCCAAATTGGCCCTAATTTTCTTATTGGTGTATTCCAAATATAATAGTTTTTTCATCTTTTTACCAGTGCTTGTATAGTTTAACGCGTTACCTTTGGGGTCATGATGGTTTTGTGGGGTTGAGACCCTCTGACCTTACTTCAACCAGATCAAATAAAATAAGCAACATTTTTCATTCATGAAACGGTTTATCTGAACAGATTTATTGCAAACTTGCCCTAAAGCAATTGTTCAGACCTTCTGAGGCAGGTTTCTGTAGGAACTTCCTGATGTCCGGCATAGAAGCACTCCAGTGTCGGGAGGAACTAAAACAGCATCTTATGTTCTTTAGTCGTAGAGGTTAAGATGGAGTTCGTTCAGGAATGTGTTTATTCTTCTGTTGGGAGTTGTTTTAAGGACTTTTGCCAATTTCTGATTCCAGTGCGGCTCTGACCCGATGAGTTACAATAACAGGAAGCTCTTTTTCTTCCAGACTCATTTAAAGGCTGCAACAAGTAAACGATTTCCACCTAATAAACATGTAAACTGATACTTTTACACGTCTTGAAGAAATGTGCCCTCCATTGTTAGTTTCTACGAATTTGGGCTTGTTTTTTTTTTTCCTGAAAATCGTGACAAAGAGGTTTTCCTCTGCACTGTTGGTGTTTTGTTTGTGGGAACAAAGTCCTTTTTTGTTCAACACCTCTGAAGAAGCAGAGAACCTATAAAGAGTTTTGCTGTTGTCGGAGCAGACAGGAACATGATGGCACCTTCCAGAAAACAAAAGACACTAAGACATCCAGCTATAATCAAATATGAGTTTATTTTATTTTTTTTATAAATCATTCTTACAAAATTGGCATTTATCTATTTCATTTGTGGCCTCTATAAAAGTCTTCTCTTAATTAGAAGTCAGGAGGGAGGAAAGGCATCAGGACCGCTGGCCTCCACGTGTTTGTGTCACCGACCGGATACGTAGCACCAGTCAGTCAAACAGGAAGTGGTCGTGTGCCATCACCATAGCAACGTGTCCAAACATAACATGATAATGGGAGGGGGTGTCCTAAATGAGAGAATGGAAGCTGTGACTCATCGTTTAAATAATCAGTTGATAAAAAGGCACAAATCAAGAGCAGGCTCGTTTCCACGGCGACGCTTCAGATAAACTCTTGGTTCTGAGGCCAAGCTGCAGATTATTACTTGCATAAAGTTCTGCTGATGGAGTTTTGGGAGATCCTCCACCCTCTGACTGAAATGTGGACTCCAGTAAACCGGAACACACTTTCAGCTGTGAAGAGGGCAGTTTAAACACAAAACGGTTCCATCTGGTGCCGCCGCTCATTATCCCCCACGTCAGTCGCTGCAGTCCTTACGACTCAACTCCCGTGGAGAGCCAAGATGGCGCTGTCCTTTCAGGGATACATCAAGTATTCGAGTATTAAAACATGAGTGATGGAGAACTGATATAAACGGAATAAATACTGATAGATGAATTAGTCCTAATGCTGTTTTAATCACTGCAGGAATGTGAGGGGGCGGTATCGACTAACGGAATTCAAACAACTGGGTGTTAGGGACACGAAGCAGACGGACCGGGTCTCAACATCAAACGAACCGCAGCAGTAGATACAAACATGGACAGAAAGGCCACCACCAACATTTCAGAGACTTGGCAGACTTCACACTTCCTGCTATTGTTTTTACCAACTGAAGGCTGAGAGAAGTTGTTTAGATCTGTGGATGTAACAGAGGAAGAAACATGGCTGCTGGCTGAGCGTGCGCAGATCGTGTTTGTGGGTCACAGTTCTGAAAACGCAACAATCCATAATGTGAGATGTTTCATCAGCAGCTCGTCCCCCAGGAGTGAAACCGGTTCACCTAAATGAGGCCTAAACGTATCTCTGCCTGCAAATTGAGGAGAAAAGCATTTTGTCAATTTAAAGGCTCCGAGGTCCTTTGATATGTGGGGCGGGGGAGTGTTTAGGCATCTGAAACCGATGTAGGCGATGGGATGTGCAATCAACAACTTTAAAGGCAGACCCCGATGTCAGAATGCCGCTCCTAGCAGGAAGGAGGGCAGAGGTGTGTGTTAGAACGCAACGCTCAGCTCCTTGTTGCTCATTCTCTCAGACGGCACGGTGAATTTAGAGCGGGAAATAAGACGAGGAAAACTAGCTGTTTTTCCAACTTCTCTCAGTGGTAAAAGGTTGAGCAGATAGTACATTAAACACACACACACACACACATTTTCTCCTGTTAACAGATCAAATGCAGCTGTTTTGATCTTTTTAGTGAGAATAAAGCAGAACTCGGCGTGTCCTGATGCAGACGAGGGAGGGTTGTTAGGGGTGACTGGTAAGATCTGTGGTGGGTTTGGGTTGCCAGGCTAGCCATCACAAACACCTTCCCTCCTCCTCCATCCTGCACGTGTGCAGAGGGAGCAGGATGTTCATGTTGTACAAAAAATATTCTATCCAACAGTTTCTGTAGTCAGTAGTGTGTTTGTGAAGCAAACCGTTCTGTTTGGCATGTTTGTGTACTCGTCTCTGTCAGTTTGCAATTCTTAAATCCAAATCTACGTGTTTTCTCTTCCTGCATCAGCTCCTGGCTGCAGCGGAGCTGTGGTCATTGGCAATGTGCTGAGTGGAAGACAGAGCAGCGTCTCTCCCTGTCCATCCCGCTGTACTCCTCCGACTCTCCACAGAGTCTCTCTCCCCCTGCGTGGGGTCTCCCCCGAGGGGGCGGCGGTCTTGTCAGAGCCTCTCGATGTCCCTGTATTTTTTACGGAGGATGGAGACCTGGTCCTTGAAGAGGACAGGGTCCAGTCTCATCTGGGAATGGATGAGTGGCATGGTGCCAAACCAGCTGGCGAACTTATTCATGCACGTCTGCCGCTGGGCAAAGTGGTCTGGGTCGGCCCAGCGAGAAGCCCTCGAAGACTAAAGGGATGAAAAAAACAAATAAAAGCACAAGTTTAGATAGCTTACTGGGATGTAACCAGTTAGTCTTGAGAACTGGTGCCACGTGGCTTTTATGGAGAGGATGGAGAACAAGTTGAAATGGTCTAGATGAGCGGAGACAGAAAGCTGGTTGAGCTGTTACTTTACATCAGTAGTTGGAAAGAAACAAAAATAAAAAGAGTAATAATTTATCTCCTTTATTACTCGTCCAAGATGGAAGAATTCAAAACCACCAACATGAATCTTTCACAATCAGCTGAGTCAGATTTTATCTGTGGGAACACCAAGCTGCAGCTTAAAGCTTGGTTTATGCTTGATGCATTCACTTTCCGCTTGGTGATGCGGCTCGCGGATGGAACGCGCTTCACCACTCGCAGCGTTTATGGTTCATGCGGCTCGTCTCTGCGGTGAGCCAATATTCTCCCAAACTGTAGGGGGCAGCATGGAGCTCTACGGCTTGCATCCAACACTCCACCATAGTAGAAGTAGAAATTACTGTTTACAACATGGCATTCCAGCATTTTTAACAGCGTCTTCGTCTTTTCCGACAGTGGGAGCTATTTCTCTCCAAGAATTATTAACAACATGTTGATCACGGTGATCTCTGAGAGCTGAATCATACAAATGTCTGTATTTACGAACCTCTGCCATACTAGTTCTTGCCGGTCTGCCATGTTTTTCCGCGTCCGACCGTCCGCGTGGTTAGAAATTTTCCTAGGTGCGCGGTGCGGAAATTTTGGGCCGTGCGGAGACGCGGTGGAGGGGCGTGGTTTTTAAAATGACGCAATTTCGCCGCGCGGACCTCGCGGACGCGTCAAGCATAAACCAACCTTTAGCTTCCTAAAAACAACACTTCCTTCTAAAAGTGTTACAAGCTCAATAATGTCCTCCAAATGTCTTACCTGTCCCATCATGGTCTCTTTGTACTGTTTCTTCTGTGTGACCTTGATGGGTGGGAGCTTGGTGACAGCAGAGACCAGGAAGTTCATCAGGATGTCCTCACAGTTGGCTAACTGGTCCACCATGTTCTTCAGGCTGGTGGGTAAGTAGTGTGTGTACAGGTAGTGGTAATACCTGGGAGGGAAGGGAGACAACACAAACCCTTAATATCAGGGATGTCCCGATCCGATCGTTTGCCTTTACTATTGAAATTAATTTTTAGCTAGTAACTCCAGTTAACTTTCTAAGACTGATTTCAATCATAACCATTATTGTTGTAACTTCCTGTTTTGAGACCAGATGTAGAGTGTCACGTTTCTGGTAGCTTTACTTTGTAGTGGATTGCTACTGTGAAGATGGACTCGAGTAAGAAAAGGACGGAAAGTGTTCGGTTAGAGAGCACGAGGTGGGCTGCAGCCAGTAGCAGCAGCTCTCGCTTCGTTACTGTCCTTTAACGCTTTGCTTTCTCTTCTGTGTGTTTTAATGCTGACGCTAGCTCTCTTTAGCTGCTAACTTCTCCACTTGAAATGCCAGTTCCGCCACCAGAACGAAGCTCTGGAGAGGGAATGGGCAGCAGTAGCTCAGAAAGTAGAGCGGGTTTCCTCGTGATCGGAGGGTGATGGGTTCGATTCCAGCAGTATTCTGTAGTTGCGTCCTTGGGCAAGACACTTGCCTGTGTTGGAGTTGGTGAGAGGAGCTGACGACGCCAAATGGCAGCCTCGCCTCTGTCAGACCGCCCCAGGGCGGCTGTGGCTATGTAGTAGCTTACCATCACTGGCAGTGTGTGAATGTGAGCGCCCTAAAAAGCGCTACATAAGTTTGATTTATTATTATTAACCATATCTACTCTTCGTGATGGTGGGAAATGTCCGCTTAATAAAATAAAGAACTCTCAGCGCTGGCGTGGCTGCAGCAGGTCTACTAACAGCCTGATGTTTTTTTTTTTGTCTTTTATTTTAAGACATAGATTAATAAGCTCATAGCAAACTGAGGTTTCCCTGGAAGGATTTTAACTCGCGCACCGACAGGAGAGCAGACCAATTAGGTTAGTGTCCCAGACATCTTAAATGTAAATCACCGCTTGATTCATCATCCATTTGGTTGACTTCTTTTGGAAAACCCGACCATAAACAGGGCGGGACTATCCCACAGGAAAAGGTGCCCTCTACGGGAGTTTCCCCCCCGGAGGTAGCATATGCTAATGTGGTGATTCGATTTCAGGACATCGGCAAGACTCGTCAGTTATAACTGCTGATCTCTGATTACTGAAAAATGTGAAAAATCAGCCCAATCTGATTCAGGGATTGGGACATTCCTACTTATAATGACCAATTTACAAGTCCTCCGTGAAGATAATTTGTAATAACTGGCCAATTACGTTAGCTCTGTTTTGACCAACATCTGCCAATGTCCTTTCCCACTAAGTTTCAACCAATAAGCATGAGTGAACCAAAAGTCCTGCCCACTGATTCGACTGGGTCATTTCTGAGTACATACCCCAGTTCAGGTACTTGGTTTGTTGTTGACATGGAGACACACGCCTGCAGTGAACGTCCGATAAAATTACCCTGAAGATGTTGTCTGTCTCTAAGGATTAGATTGTAAAGGTGGGGTGCGTGCTAGCACCCCTTTTACAGCCTAATGGTATAATCCTTTTAGTTTACTATACCTGACTGATGATGTGGGGAGAAGAGGATCCTAGTCAATGACCAAGGTCAATAAAGGTTAGTGTGTCCAGGGCTTTCGTCTGATGACTACAATGTTTTACTTTAAAGTTAACATGATTCCATTAACAATGTAATTACTATCAAATGAAATGATTATTCCTCTGATCCTGAGAGGATTTAACAACTGACCTATTAAATGTGATGAAGCACTCGGCTGTGATTGGCTGCCATCAGCCTAATGGACTGTTCTCATCACAGCAGTCCAGTCCTATTAGAGCTCAGAAACTATAAAAACGCTGGACATCATCTCTAAGGTCTACAAGTCAGGACATCAAAGACACGAACCAAAGAAGACAAAAGGTTTGGTGTTTAGAGGAGCTGCACCTGTGGAACATGGCGGCACCGGTCAGAACCATGGAGTAATCATTGGTCCATTTGGATGTGTAGCCCCAGCGCTCCTTGTTGCTGTCCCAGAAGTGGCTCCGGGCCGGATAACCCACAATCCTCTCAGGAAAACTCTGCCAGACGGTAAACGCAAAGTCCACCTGGACACAGATTTGAACAAGTGAGCCTCCATAGTTTAGCATCAGAGCTTCCAGGTAATCTGGGATTCCTATTGGTCTAAAACTCTGAAGCAGTGAAAAAGCTGTTTCACAGCTACAATAACAACAGTCAAAGCTTTTATTAAACAATGAAGCGATGCTGTACATCTGTGATCTGTTATCTCCCGATGCTGGGACGAAGCGGAGTGGATTTTCTAAAATCAAAGCGACGCCACGGAGCACCAACAACAGAATCACTCCATCTCACACACCATCAATAAGACGCAGCTGCCTGAAGCTGGAGTTGCAACGATCAAAGTCTTCAAATACTTCAACAAAAGCATCAAAACGACTCCCTCTGTAATACAGCCCATAATAATCCCCCCCCCCCCAAAAATAAAGAAACAACCAAACACGTCATTTATCTGTTATCTAACATTAAAGCAGCTCGGGCTGTAATGTAGATGATACAACTGTGTGCAAAAGTTTTCTGTCAACATTCTTCTAAGGGTCCGAGGTCTTTGGGTGTCGAAAACGTGATCATTTATTGGTAGATCTTTTAGGTCATAATTAGAGTTTTACTACTGGTTCCATGAACATTACCAAAGATTTTGACCTTCAATCATGTCGTCGTTGAAAACTTGATCAGCTGAAGGACAACACATCTCTCAGCTCTTCTACATGACTCCCACATGCTGTTCCTCTGCTATCCATCCTTTAAAGGACTGATGCTTATTTCTTTTCTATACGTCTAATTTTCTCCTTTATTCAAACACAAACTGCAAGATTCTAAGTTTTGACCAATAATCAGAACATCTGGCTGTTTGAAAGCAAACTGTCACAGAGACTTAGATCAAGTTTAACCCGAAATAGGATGAAGAAAGTCTTTTTACTGTGAGTGTAACTGTGACTCGGCTCACCGACCTCCGAGCAGAAGAAAGTCTGAAAGCAGCCTCTGGTTTCCCATGATGCAACACAGGAAGTGTTCCACAGAAATTAAAAATAACATCTCTTCCCCGTCGGGGATCAAGAACCAAAACGAGGAGTGGAGGGTTTACCTCTGTGGTGGACAACACCGTGTCCTCGTCCAGGCTGAGGACGGCGTCCGTCAAGATGTTCTCATATGGGAGGAAACGGCTGCTCATCACCTGCAGGTAGAAACAGTCAACAGGGTTGATCATTATCAGTTTCAATCATAAACATGCAAAAGGGAAAGTGGCTGCAAGGAGGTGTTGACTTAGATGGATGACAGATCAAATTACACCTGTCTAAATGCATGGTTTCCATGGCAACACAGCTCCAGAGTTTCTGTCCAATTATGAGGTATTATATTTATATACAAGGATCGGTTAATGATGAAATGTTTCTCTGTTTGCTAAACTTTTCCTCTCGACTTCCTTCAGACGAAACCAGAAGGATGGTCTTTTGGTTCAGCCGCGTCTTCGTCAGAGACACCGGGGTGTATTCATGTGGCCGTCTGGCCTCAAGAGGTTCCTTCGAGGAGAGGAAAACCCCCACAGCAATCCTCAAGTAACATACCAAACAGACTGGACTGCTGGCTCCACTTGAAATCTTCTGAGACTCAAAAATAACCACTAGGGGTGTGTACCAGCAAGAAGCTGGTGATGCAATATTTATCACAATACAGGAGACACGATCCGATAAATATCACATTACAGGGGACATGATACAATATACTGTGATACTAAAAGCCAGATGATATTTTTTACTTTTAAGAATGAATTTAATTAGAAAACTCAGGTCAGACCCTCCCAAGTGACATCCAGGGTGTTGCCCACTGTCAAGGAACCTTGCCTTGATGCCTTGGTCCCGCCCCATTTGCCTAGAAGATACGTCATCAGGAACCACCGAGGCATGTTCCAATAGGCTACCGTGGCATCTGTTCTCCGTTTGTTACTCATTTAGCTAGCATAGTAAGGATACATGGGAGGTGTCTTGTAGCCTGGCCTTGGTCAAAAATTTCCCAGAATCCAGTGCGGTATTTTCAAAAGGATTGGCAGAACAGGAGACAGCAGCTATTTTGGGGCAAATTTCCAGTTTAAATGTAAGTCAACTAACTGTAGTTATCGGGTTGATATCTAAAATGTTTTTTTTTAGCTCCAAAGCAGTTAGCGATGGTTAGTTAATTGCTTAGTTGCAATTTACTATTTAAAAAGTCAAAGGCTTGTTATACATTTATATAGAAACTTATACGTATAAAATACAACTTTACCTCATGTGTCACATGACGTGACATGATGCAAGTCTGTTCCATTTAACCGTTTTCTTTGACCAAGGAGGGACAGTGTCCTCTTAAGCAAGGCGCCTTGCCATTGAGAAGCACCCCCAGTGTTAATGTGAGTTGTTGTTGTTCTGTTAGAATATAGGTGGTAAAAATGCTGCCACCTAGCAGTCAGAGTTTGAATTACACAACACAAGAAATACAGTAAAAGTTAATTCTCAATAAAAACTGCATTTTAATGTATCAGTAAATAATAGGCTTGGGTGGTATCCAAATTTTAATACCGTCTAGCTTCCTCCACATTTTACCAAGGTGTACGGTATTACCGGGACTAATTAGAAAATGGTGGCGTGAGCCTTAAGTGGAATTACCAAGCTGTTTGTTTGGGCCTTCACCGTTACGAAACTGAATAACAAACACTATAAAACTATAGCACACATAATATTAACACCTTTTTAAAAACGCAGCTTATGACAAGATTTTTCACCTAAAAAACTTGCACGTTTACGTTTTCCAGCTTCAACCTCCAACTGCTGCAAGTCGCTTCAATGAGCTTGTGGCACCGACATACGGGTGGTGCTAGTCGCGACATCTCGGGAAGGCTGGCAGCTTATTTTTCACCAGAAAAACACATTTTTGTCTTTTAGTAACAGGCTCCATACAGAATAGTGCTATTTCAGCTACGGTTTGCTTCACTGCGGCTCCGACGGAGCGTGCATCTTTCGTTTGCACAAATTACCTCATCAGAATACTTCCGAACTGCAGAAGTTGTGTTTTTAGACACCAGTCAGCTGATGCGCGAGCTGCCATTTTTCTCTTGGCGCGCCGTCATGTGGTGACATCACGTTCATGAACTTTATGGAAAGTCTGTTTTTTTTTCATGACGGTATTGGAACCGACACCGTTGCGGTTTTTTAATACCGGCTGTACACCGTAATACCGCCCAAGCTTAGTCAATAACACATAATATCTCTATTTCCTTATATCCCTGCCAACTGTAAATACATTTTCTGTAGAAATCAAATCTGGCAGAAATGTCCCAAACAAATAGATATAAAACAAATACGGTAAGTCTGTAGCTGAATCCAGCTGAAGTAGGATAAAACCGGTGGGATACGTTTTATTTAAAATGGGGCTATGATGAAACTAACAATAGCACAAATTCTCCTTATATCTCAGCTACGTTTCGGTGTTTTTACACTTTATTCTTATTTTATTTGCCACTTTGCACAAAAACTCACGCTGTCTCGCGTTTCTGGAGAATGAACTGAGACGAGTACAAAAGGCCTGCAGGGCAGTTGGTTCTTTTACATCAATGATGCGTTTAGACTAATTTTGGTAAAGAATCTCAAGAAAGATTAAATCTAATATTACTAATCTAGTTTTAACTGAAACATCAAACCATCTAGAATAGTTTATTTATAGCTGAACAGACGAGTTTCTGGACCCGGTACTGATGCTCAAACACCCAGACACGAGCTTTTAATAAACTTAAAGCTATAAACTCAGAAATTAGCTGATGTAGAGTCTGCGGACATCATTTCTAAGTGATGTAGGACACAGACTGACAGAGAGGTCACTAACGTGGACTTTGCTGCAGGCTCTGATCAGATCTAAAGTAGAACCATAAACCCAGCAGATGTCTGGGAGATGTTATCAGAGTTTACGTAGCGGCTAGAAGAGCTACATAGTCAGGTGAAAATATTTACAATTCCCGGCTCGTTCTTGCAAACATCGACAGTATCTGAGATGAAGATGCACTTGTTTGGTTCTAACTAAATAAAACTCAGTTGGTCTTTAAAAGCAAACTTGTTGTTTTTTTAAAGACAAAATTCACTTCTGAAGGGATCTTCACCTGGAGATGAATTCTAAAATAAATCCCAGTTTCTCCTCCAAGTATCGAGCGGATGCATTTTTAATGATTCCTCACAAATTCACGGGATTCAGGGGGAGACAACAAGCCGTGACGACAACAAATAGCGGCTCAGAGAGACAAAGAGCGAAGAAAATATCCTCCTCTTCACTGCAGGTTGCGCCCTGTCATTTTTAACTGTGATGTATCGCCGAAGCAAGTTTCCATTACAGCTGCAGGAGCTGCGTTCTCTTTTACAATCAATGAAAACACAAACAGGGACCCGCGTTGGGTGCTATGCGTGCGGCGCAAACTTCTGCTCCTGCAGAACAGAATCAAAGGTCTAAAAACACACGAGCGGCTCAGAGCATTTGCTGGAAGCAGAGGTCCGGGTCTGGTGGGTGGACACGCAGATCCACATCTTCAGGATACTTAGATGGAAGTCTTTGGTCTGGAGCCGCGAGGAAAAAACATGGAGAAGCAAACCAGATGCTGGAAGTCAAACAACCTCCCACACAAACAGCTGATTGGTGTACGCACGCACGCACACACACAGCCGCTTATTTAGTTATTACAGCTTCTAAGGTCAGGCCTCTTAAGAGAAAACATATTTCTGCTGAACAGCACCTGCGCTGAAAAGCCATTACATTTACATCCTCTGGTGTTCCACGCTGACCTCCTTCCTCTGTAAACACCTGCAGTCCTCCGCCTGCTGCGCTGCAGAAGTGACCTCACTCCCAACAGGTCTTAATCACTCCTACGACTCCGGGCAGCAACAAACAAACAGAGAAACAACAGCACACGCCTGTGCCCCTACAGCTCAGCACTGCTTTATCAACCCACTGTGGTGTACCAAATTCAGTAAAACACCCGGTTCCACCTGTTAAACAGTTTAAAGCCCAACTGTTTCTGATTAAACCATAAAAATGAAGGTCCAGACACAAGCGTAAGGAGGGATGGAATGTGTTTTTTTTTTCTGTTTTATCCTCTTTTAGCTAGAAAAAAACCACAAAGGTCACCCAAAAGGTGACAGATGCTTATTTTTTGTGCTGCCATGCCGGTCTATTGTCTATAAACACTCCAAATGTGAAAAACCCATCGATCCATGCTGGGGGACCAGCGGCTCTACTCCAAGCCCCTTCTGGAAATTGGAGCTTCTAAGCTTATAGCTGCCTGAGCGAGGGTGGGCGTGGCCAGCTCACTTTCTTGATGCTGAAACTGAGATCACTTAATGTGAGATGGATTTAGTGCAAAGAACCTAATAAACATGTTTTATATCGACCACTAAAAATAATTTAACTTAAGAAAGTAAGTCATAGGAATTCTGTTAGAAAATTATGAAAATCTTTTCTCTTTATCTCTGATTTTTATCTCTAAGTTGGTTTACAATCCAAAACAGAAACAACAGTAAAACTCATGAGTCTTGTTAAAAAAACACATGAAATAATTACAGCAGCTTTTCTCTGGATGTCTAAAAGTGTCATAAAGTGAGTTGCTGCTCAGTTTGGAGCAGAAATCAATGCAAAAGCATCGATTTAACATCAACTTGCTGGTACTTTATTACACAGCCCAATCCCCCGGTGCCTGCAAGGGTTTATCTAAACAGCTGCTCCGGTCAACACACGTCAGTTTCTTATCTTTCCCCAAACACTCCAGAGGCGACGGCTTCGGGTGTCAGCCGTATTCCTGCAGGTTGCAGCAGCAGAGGTGTGAGAACACGAGAAGATCTGGCCGCTTGTTTCACTTTATCTACATCGTTACTGAGAAAAGAAATAAAAACCCTCAATTAAACATTTTCCACCAGAATACCAGAGAAGATGAGAAGAAGACGGCAGAGAAGAAAAAGGGACGTGACAGCGAGACAAACAGAGGAGGGAGACAAAGAAGGGATGAGAGGCTGATGTCTGCAGCCCCCAGAAGGTTTGTAACGTTAGAAGTGAGACGTATTAGCCCGGGGCGTCCTGCTGCTCTCCAGGAATGTGAGCTCTTACAGCAGGAATCTGCCTCCAGCGCTTCATCTCTTCCTCCTTTGAAAGGGACAGAGGAAGAGGAGGAGGAGAGGAGACGGGAGGACCGGCCGGAGTGGAGGAGTAAATCGCAATACACAGAGGTTGGCAGGAGTAAAGTCATTTATGATAGATTATAATAAGTAATATGAAGAAACAGCACACCTGCTGCAATTAGCGATACATGAGTCAAGTGGCTGGAAAAAGGGCAAAAGCTCTCCCTGGCTCTGCCTCTGTGGGGAGGAGGAACACGGCCTGGCCCGCCGCAGTAAACACGGAAAACGCCGCCATCACAACAAACCACAGGCTGTCTGACACACACACACACACACACACACACACACACTGCTCTCTCTTCGCGGACACACAGCGAGATTGTGAGGCCTCCCGTTCTGACTGACAGAAACCACTCGGAGCCACAGGGCGAGGAAAACCACAAAGCCAGCGAACTGCCGGCTGACTGACACTGATGTGGAAAGCACTTCCACTGATTGGCAGGCGGAGTTGAGCGCCTACATGAGGGGGCGGAGTCCTCCGTCCACAAAAGCAGAAACACTTTAATTTAACTGATCCTGAGTTTCTAATTTCATAAAATTGGCTTCTGATCAGCATTTGGATTAAAACCATTCCAAGGTCAGAGGTCAAAATGAATAAATAACACTTTTACATTGTTCAGCTGAACAATGATAAGACATGTTCTGAGGTATGTCGCAATTCTTTTCTCAAAATAATTTCACAAGGAAACTTATGAAATATATAAAAAGTTGTCGTTCGTCTGTTTTCACCCGCTTATCCGAGTTCGGGTCGCGGGGCTAGCAGCTCGAGCAGATCGGTTAGCATAATTAACTATTTACCTGCTGATGTTTGTTTTTACCTGAACCACGGGGATGGACTTTAACAAAACTCTTAAAAAGTAATCACAAAATGTTCACATACACTTAATTCACATTTGGAGTCAATCCAATTCAATATGGCCGCCATAGCTGATCAATGTAAGCCAGTAATTACAGATGCAGAGTTAAAATGAGGTTTTCTTGTAGCTTAGAGTCATCCACAACTCATGAGAAGACCTCAGCATAGGATCCAAATCATCAGGAAAGGCATAAAAACAGCTGGTTTTAGGATATTTTTGTTTTTCTGTAAAAACGAATAAAGCGATCCATTTATTAGAAATTTGGTTGTAATTAAAGAAATATCTTAAGTCTACATTTATCAACTCGCCTATCTTTGTGAAACACAATAGGCAGTTGCCGTGAGTCTTCCTTTTTAGGTGGAGAATAAAATTCTCATTACTGAGGTTAAATTAAAACCACATAAACTGTTCTTTAATGGAATCGGAGCAGCACTAATCGAAACTCATTAACTCTCAGAGTGAACACAAATGTGTCAAGATACAGTAGGTTTACCATTTCACAATATCATGAGCGGTTTTAATTAGAAATGATAGGGATCACACCTTAGAGCTATACGAGAGGCAGCGCCTGTGTGTGTGTGTGTGTGTTGAGGCTTACCTTATTTTCTCCCTCGATGACGATGACAGGCACCGATGTGGCGGGCCAGCGGTGTTTAGCAGGCAGAGGCTTGTCACAGTTCCACAGGACGATGATCTGAAACAGCAGAAATAAAGAGTTACGTCCACCTTTGTTGCTTTTAATCGCCTCATCGTTTTTCTCCGCGGGTAAACAACTTCCCACCTCGCTGCTGAACGTTGACATTTCTGCTCCTCGTGACCAGAAAATGTCACCGTATTATAAAACCGAATCAATGTTAAGGAACCAAAAAGGCCAAGAAAAGAGATAAACTCCATCCAATTACCGCTGAGTGATGGTGTCTACACCTCAGGCCAGAGACAATCCAGTCGGACGCCGCTGAACACGGTCATGCTTTCAGACTCAAACATCAGATCAGCAACCTTACAGCATCAGATCTCATTAATAATCACAATCATCACGTACATACAGCAAATGTACCTGACCCAGCTAACACACAGCTTGTTATTCTGATGAGAAACGGCGCTCTGATAACCCTGAGTGTCATGTTATTCTTCATCTGAGTGTCTATCCGGGTCACGATGGTCCTCAGAGTTTACATGGGAGGAACATCGATTTGTTTCCTTGTTTCTTCAAAATGAAAGAATCCTTCTGCTGTTAGAAACGCATCATGCTGGAGAAACTCTCGGCAGTCGGTGCTTTTAAATGATTTATGTCCTAATAGCTGGTCCAAGAGGAGCTACCGTCTTGCATCACATAACTACAATTATTCACCATTTATTCTCCAACCCCTCCCAAAGATGTCTCACTATGTTCATCGTCTTTCTGACTCACAAAAACTAAATTGAGAAAGGACTCCAGATGTTTCCTGTGTGTGAGATTAGGACCGTGCAACATAAACAGGAAAATAGAGAAGCCTTGAAGGAGTTTGGAGACATTCAGGAAACAGCCTTGCTAACGCGGTTTAAGTTGAGGTTCTGGTTCAGTTGCGTTGCCTACGAGCTACCGGACAGTAAGGTCGGGCGATGTGTACAATTTTTTCAACTGGTATACGTCAGTCCAACAAATGATGATAGGCAACACACTCACGCAGGTGATGTTTAGACTTTGCGGGCCCGACACACACTTCACTCAGCGACCCACCAATCATAAGATTAGTGATTATAAAGATTAGTGAAAATCCACCTCAGTGTTTGGTGGAGAGCGACCTGTTCAGGCCGTATCAGCAGCCTCCTTCCCTGTAGCGTTCAGTGCACCATCTAACATCTGCCCTGCAGAACTGTCCTCGAGCAAGTCTGTAAATGAACCCATCGTGTTTCCCGTGAGCAGAGCGGTGGCCGATGCTGTGCTCGAGCGTCCCCAAAGGAGAAGAACGGCAAGAATCTCCCTGCAGCAATCGACTAAACCTCCCTTTACTCAGTCTTCAGCTACGTCACACGCAGCGGCTCCCCTGGGGGCTTCTGCTCCCTGACTGGATAAGAATGCGCTGGGAGCTATTAGGTCGTGTTTGACCCATTCTGTGGGACGGTGATCCCATGAGACCACAGCAGCTGGGCATTAGCATGCAGCATATGTGACTGGCATTCTTTACAGATGATCTACAGCTGTTTGGTAAATTCCAGAATCATCTCACCATTCTGAGAGAATCCAACATAAAACCTCCTTCATGGAGCTAATGTGGGTTTAACTGCTTTACACAGTCTGCACACACATGCAGCTGAGAGCTGATCCTCTCCTACAGACTGCAGCTTGATTAGTCAGACAGATGGAGTCTTTCAGATCCCCACCCTCTGATGCTGCTGATGGAGAGTTTAGTTCACGTGTTTTGCTCTGTTTCAATGACCAAAGGAGAACGGTGAAGGTGTGCAACACAAGGACGAAGAAACACTTCCATCAACATGCCTGCATGCAAACACACATGCAAGCACAGCAGGAGGTCCGCTGAGTCAGACTGCACTTCAGAAGGTTTGTGGAGTCCAATTTAGCCTTCTCCACCCCCAGAGTTCTTTCTCTCCATTCATTTATTTATACCCTTCCCTCATCTGCTCACGGCACAGCAGCCCACACCTTCCATTTCTCCTCTAGGAGTGGAAGAAAACACCTCAGCTGTGCACCCGGCTCTCCACTCTGCATGCACAGCCTGAAGAAGGCAAACACAAAAGCCCCTCCGTAAAAAATAATAGTGAGGTAGAGTTCACTCATTCAGCCCGCTGTTATGAGTGAAGGTGTTGCACAAAGTGTGTCGATAATAGCTCAGACTTTGGTGTTTTACCAGCTGAACACCAAGGTTTTTATTTCTAACCAACTCAACGGTTTTCATACAAAAGTATAAAAAGGTTTCCTCGTGGTGATGTTGGATTTGATGGCTGTGGTTCATTCAAAGGTGTTTGATGTCACTTCGTTGCTTTTAGAATTTAAATGATAAAATCAGGCAAAGATGGTCATCCACAGAGACTCAAAGGTTAAAACTAAAACTCGGTTTAAACGTGCTCAGCAGTTTATGTGATGATTGATTAAGTTAAAGAAACTTTAGGTGAAAATGTAAGTTGGGAGATTGGGTCTGAGGGTCAGGACAGTCTATGAGAGTTAGATATAGGGCTGAAATGATTCCCTGAGTACCTCGAATAATTCGAGTACAAAAAATCCTCGAGTCAAATTCTCTGCCTCGAGGCTTCGTTTAATTCATGTTTAATAAATTCATGGCTTTGCAATCGCCCGTGGCCATGTTTCACCCGGACCGAAATAAGTGACGCACATACACACTGCACTGAATGCACACGCGAGTAGCGAATGTAACTTAACTTTCTTTTAAGCCATGGCGGACAACGTGGACCCCGGTGGAGTGCGAAAAAGACATTAAATGTCAAAGGTGTGGGACCATTTTTCACGTCGTAAGGCGGAAAACATAGTCCAGTGTAAATACTGTAAAATGGATTTAGCCTACCACAACACCACATCCTCGATGCTGCAACCTGACCAGGAAACATCCACATGTAAATGTCTCTTCTGCAAGCGGACTCGGAGCCTCTACAAGATAATGCATTTTAGCCTGTATTTCTATATATTCTGCGGACACTGTGTGACTTTTTCATTTGTAGCACTTAGTTTCAGCTCACACCGTACATCTGGTAGCAACACGTCGGACTTAAAATGTGCTAAAAATAGCAGTTTTTACAGCACGTCGGACTTTTTACTGTGTTGTTATTGATGTCCGTTGTCCCTCGGGATTGCTGCAGGAGGACACGGGTATTTATGAGAGTGGCGGAGGAAAACGAAAGAAAGTAAATAAATGTTTTGTGATCAGTGTAATTTGACTTAACCGCGGCAAACATGCTTTCTCGACAATCCTTGTTATTGTGTGAGAAAAAAAGTGTAGAAATTAAAACGGACGTGTGTTAATAGGGAAACAGCTGGCGAGCCATGTTTGTGCATGCACCGTGAGCGGTTCTGGTGCTGTTTGGGCCGCAGCCGCTCGCATTGGTTTACTGTGAAGTAAAGTTGAAGTGCTGAAGTTCTGAAAACAAATTTTGAATAAAACTTGAGGAATAACTGGCAATTGCTTTCTCATTTCAAGAGGTCTTTCATATTTTATAACATGCTATTTGATATAATGGTTTAAAAACGCAAAAGAGTAATTTATTAGAGTACTCGATTAATCGATTAAAGATTCGATAGAGTACTCGATTACAAAACTATTCGATAGCTGCAGCCCTAGTTAGATCTATGATTATAAATGAGGGCGGTTGATAATCATTAGTTGTAGTGATAATCAGAGGACTGGTCCTTACGGTCATTGTTAATTGGTTAGGACTTGGTTTTAGAAAGGGCACAAGGTAGGGTCATCAGGGTCACTAACAGAGTTTGGAGAATAGTTCCCATCAGTAGTTTGGGGAGTATTCGATTGGTTGGTTGATGGATTGCGGTCTTATATTAAAGAGATTCAGCTGATTGGTTTTTAGGATTATGAGAGATAAGAGGTTTTTCCCAACAAGCAGGGTAGTTTCAAATCATGTCTGGGGTTTGAAACTATATTTGGAGCCTTGACCTCTAAAGATAAACATAGGTTGTGGTTAGTGTAGTGATGTAGTGGCTTTTGGGATTTAAGGAATAGATTTTTAGGATTGATCTTTGGTAACTGGATAGGTTGAAGAACCAGTTTACTGCAACTCTTTCACACAGTTTCTAACTTAAATCTCCTGCTTCCCATGAGATAAAATATTTATGATGGATTTTGCAAGTTTGCAGCAGATCCAGAGTGTATTCTCTCCAGAACAGAATCTCCTCACTGAGCAAAGTTACTCTAATTAAATGCTAAACCCTTTACTGTATCTGCGTGGGTTCATTTGGTTTAAATATGGCTTGGAGTCTAAATGTATTTTTAACTACATTGTCATTTATTTTTGAAAATATATTTTACTGACTCATGGTACTTTTTAAAAATAAACAATTCTAACGTTGGAGTGTGAAAACTATAAAAGAAATTAAATTCATGCGTAGTTGTGGAAGATATATCCTCTGCTCACAAAAGTGAACTTTACTCTCTCACAATGCCTGTGTGTTGGCACGCACGCACGCACACACACACACACACACACACACACACACACACACACCATCTGGGAGTGAATTCCATTTCATTTCCCGCTTTAGTAAGGAGCAAGCAGGGGAATCAATACATGCCATCTCCAGCTGTGCTGCAGGGGCTTCGGCTGCCATGGAGACAGATGTACCACAGCTACAAACTGCTGCTCTAATTCAATCCTCCAGAGTTAATTCACAACACACACAAACCCAGGATGAGCTCTGTTGTTGCTCTGGTTGGAAAATGTGATTGTGAGACGAGCGTGAGCGCCACATAGCGCAGGGGGACTTCAGGAGTCACGAGGTGGACGGCAGCAGGAAGACAAGCCCTTTACCTGAGCACAGTACTGGGACTTGGCCACAGCCACCAGCAGCTTGAGGATGGGCTGGGACTGGGACACCAGGGGGGACACGGCGTGGATGACGGCAGTGAACTTCGGGTGCAGTTTAATACCTGAAACACAAAACCAGAAGTGATCTTAGAGCAGCCTCATTTAGTGAAATATGACCCCACAAATGAGACCAGCAGCTGGTAAAAATATAGATTATTTCACTGGCAGCGATGAACATTCCTCCAAACAGCCTTGAAAAATTCAACAATGTTAATGCGTTATGAAAATGCCCAACCTCTTTATCACTGAATATTTCATTCGCAGCTGTTTCTGCAACCTGATAAACAGACAGCCAACTGCTGGCTCTAAACTCAGCCCGACTCCATGTTGGAACAAAGTAATCGAAGCTGAAAATAAGGAAGAAGAAATAAGATATTGAGCAAAATGGATCACAGAGGACATCCGACTTCTTCTAATTTAAATCTAATCTAACCCCAACCAGCAAAGCGTGGCGGGGAGGAGATAACGCTAGACGACTTTTCTTTCTGACACAATTCCTACGAAGACAAATATATGCAGCTCTAACTTTGTAAACTGCTGTAGCTTTGTGAATGGTAATGGAAAAAAAAAAGTATGGACTCTGCGGACTTTTTAAGCTCTGAGGATGCAAATGTGTAAGTGACACACACTTTGATGAAACCCTGAGCAGAACCTGCAGAGTTATTGTCAGGTGGCTCACTAAATGTTGGAGGCTGTTTTCTGCCTTGGGCACATGATGCTCAGTGGCTTTCATCTTCCTGCATGAGCACTGCTCACTTTCTGAGAGTCTGCAGCAACACTCCGGGCGGCTTTGAGACAAAAACACACTCCTACTTTTGGCATGAAGTTCAACTGGAACGTTAAAACATGGAGAATTTATTTCTCTTATTTCAAAACCAATAGTTTGTGACAATGAACAGATTTCTACTTCCAGCACATCTTTGGAGAAAATGAAATTATTCTAGAACAGTGTTTCTCAACCCTGGTCCTCAGCTCCCCCCGTCCTGCATGTTTTCTATGTTGCCACTTCCAACAGCATCGTTTCTCTGCTGCCACACCCCCGACTTAAATGCATGAGTGATTAACAGGCTTCTGCAGCACTTGATGTAATCCTTATGAGGCAATGCAAATATATTGAACAAGGTGTGCTGTAGCAGACACATGGAAAACATGCGGGACGGGATGGGGGTGGGGTGCACCGAGGACTGGGGTTGAGAAACGCTGCTTTAAAGGGTTATTTTTGTAGTAAAAATATGTTATAATTATGATATGAAATGTTCAGCCACTGAGAGGATTATTATGGCATACACATGTTTGTTTAACACACACAAAACACCCCAGAGGATTTTTCTCCTGCTTTTTTGTCTCAGATGTCCCTTTAGGGACTCCGTAGACTTATTTTGTAACCTCTTGGCCACCGTACAACATATTTTAAATGTTTTTCTACTTGTGGACATGAAGAGGAGGAGATTTAAATGCTGAATCTGGTGTGTTGGAGCACAGAAACATCTAAAAACGGCGACACCAGGATTTGCCTTTATTTGTTTAATGATTAAGAAGAAAAAGAAAATATCTTTTCTGACTGCAGAGTTAAAGGATGTCAGAAGGTCCTTTAGGTGCAGCAGATGGATGTGGAGATGGGTTTTCTTCCACAAACGCTCAATTTTTCTGCATTGGCACTTTAGGCTGCGAAGGCTGTCAGTAAACCAGGGAGTAGGGTTCACTGCAGGAACTGATCTGGTTCCGACAGAACAGATGTTGTCCAGAATGGAGAGGCAGTGCTCGTTAAACTGAGAAGTTAAGGAATCTGGGTCGTTATCAGAAGAACAGGGTGGATCAAAAGCAGCGGAAAAATTGCTATCTGTGCTCTCATTAAGAAAACGAGAACTAACCATACAGCGAGCAGGAGGTGGGGATGCAGATACTGACAAGGTAAAGAAAAAGCAATGGTGATCTGAAATATAAACGTCCTCAGGACAAACACTGTCAGCATTTAGACCCAGGGTAAAAACAAGGCCCAGAGTGTGTCCCCTGGTGTGTGTGGGGCCAGAAACATGCTGGGTAAAGCTGAAGGAGTCCATAAGGCTGGAGAAATTCATGGCAAAGTGATCAGAGGGATCATCAACGTGGTTTAAGTCACCCACAATCACCAGTCTGGACAGCTTCACAGTGGAGGATAGAAAGTCGCCAAACTCCTGAAGGAAAGAACTGTTTGGACCAGGTGGACGATAGACCACAGCACAGTAGAACGGGTCCTTACGCCCGACTTTAATCAGCTGCAGTTCAAAGGAAGCAAAGTGACCAGAGGTTGTAGAGCTACATGGAAGATGGTCTGTGAAAACAACAGCTAGGCCTCCACCTCGACCAGAACCCCGGGGCTGGCTAAGAAAAGAATAACCACTCGGGCAAAGTTCAATCAGACCAGAATAATCAGATGTTTGCTGCTAAACTTCAGTCAGAAACAGAAAATTCAGGTTTTTAGAGAGAATTAGATCATTGAGCAGGAAGGACTTATTGTTAACAGAGCGGGTATTTAATAGAGCCACGCTGAGTGAGGTGGAGGAATCAGAAACTACAGAAACAGCTGGAGTTAGTGGACGTAAATTAGCAGGGTTAGATCCACAGTGTTTATAAAAACCACTTATGGAGGGAACAGGAGGAGAAACCACTGAGGAATGAGGATAAACTGACCTCCCCCAAAAAAACCAAAACCAAAAAAAAAAAAGGGACACAACAACAATACAACAAGATCAAGCTATCACTGCGTCAACTTGATGAAGAAATATATAATCAACCTTGTTTAACTGAACAATCACACGATAATAAATCACAGTGCATTAAGTGCCCACCATAGCCTTAAGACCTGTGTTGAACGTGCCCAAGTCCATACTTATGAGAGCACCATGTGAGCACCTGTGTGTGTACACGCGCTTGTTTAGGATAAACTGACCTTAAAAAACTTGGGACGAAGAAACCGCGCCGCAACGCGGCCTGGTGGGAATGCGGAAGTGGCGCTCAAGTCGCCAAACAAAGGACAAGAAGCTAGAAGATCGCGCTGATGTTTACTAGATAAACCACTCTTTAAGAGAAGTCTTATTCTCACTTGGATTCCTGCTCGTTTACCTCTTTTCCTCCGACGTTTTCCCGGGACCGGATAAACATCGCTGGAGGCGCCCTGGTTGGAATCATGGTTTGGCTCCGGGCCAGTGCGCCACTCAGATAAACAAACAGGGAGGTACGTCCTCGGTGCATCTTGGGCGATCGTGAACGAACGTAAGGACAAAAGAGTCTGGCGATCATAGGAGATGGTAGCAGGGACAATACTGAAGAGGATCGCAGACAGGAGCAAGGTGGAAAAGAGGAGGTTAGTGGAGAGAAGTTTGAAAAAGTGGCCGGTGACTGCGGCTAAGCCAAGCACAGGTGCCATCTTGTTACTGACCGGAAGCGGAAGTGTATAATGAGAGAGATTGTTTCTTATTATTCACTCCTGGAGAAATGGCAAGAAATGTCACTTAAACAAATGATCTGCCTTTGATTTTCCTCCTTTGGCCATCAGTGATGAGCCACTCCGTCTCCTAAAAGCTCATCCGTATTTAATCGCTTTCTCGTTGACAAACAAATACAGTCGCCGCTGTTGTAATCCAAGGCTGTCATCGTGTCCATCCATTTTCATATCTGCAGTAACGGCCGGGTGCTCAATCAGCTGACTTCATTCTGCTGCTGTCTGTGTGTGTGTGTGTGTATGTATGAGTGAGTGTTTGTGGTGGCTTTTAGGGGTGTGAATCTTCACTTGTTTTCCGATTCGATTACGATTATTGGGTCAACGATTCAATTTGATTCGATATCCTGATGCATCATGATTATTTCATATTGATTTGTTTTCATCGATAAATAGAAGATGTCAGATAATTGCTTTATATATATATATATATATATATATATATATATATATATATATATATATATATATATATATATATATATTCATCAAAAACGTAATTGACACAACCTGCCATGCCTCAAAAGCTCTCAATTCACAACAGGTTAGGACAAAACATTTTAAACATTTAAGAAGATTTAACAAAGTAAAACATCTGTTTCCTCGTTCAACACCACGCCTCAGGCTGAGAAAAACACGCTTTGCAAAAACTCACAAAATCTAAAAAAGTACTGAAAACCTATAGGGCACATAATGTAATAATAAAATACATAATGGGTTCATATATGAGTGTTTAATGTCTCTGAGAAGCTTTAGAGTCAAATATTTATGCCACAGTTGAAGGGTGTCAGAAATAACACTAAATGAAATGTTTGACTTAGTTTGTTATTTCATTTGAACCCAGTGGTTCATTTCTGAAATGTTGGAGAATGAATCAAGTTCTGTTTGATGCAGAAAATAATAAAACAAAAAACAAATTCTACACTTCCAATCATATTTAAGATGTGTGTTTTATTCTTTCTGATAATAACACCAGCAGAAGGCTGTGGGCTGGATTAGGATTAAATTACCCAGCTGATGGATCTCTTTCACTAACCAGCTAACTACAAACCTTTCCACTAGCCTGTCCTGTGTAACCCTCACCATGTGACCCTCATGTCCTTGATGTCTCTGGAGGAGCAGATAACAGACAAGATCTCCTGTAACCTAAAATGGACCAAAGCTTCTTCCCAGTTTTTTTAAACAGAATTTAACATCAATTTATCATCATGAAACAAAAGAATAAAGTGGAACAAGAACTTCTACCTTCTATTTCGCTCTCCACTCTACATTCCACTCTAATAGATTATGGCGTGCTCTTCTACAATGCAGAATTGTTTATGTCCGCATCCCAATGCATCGATTTGATTATTTTCCTCAGCTCTAGTAGCTTGGCAGGGCTAGATGATGATGGAGTGATGAAGTGAAGAAAGGAGCGACTCCTGGGTCGGGTAGGACGGCGGGCGGTAGGAGGAGCGATGCTGCTGAACCGTAGCAAGAGGAATTTGACCTCGCCGTCAACACAGCAGTAGCAATGCCGACTTAGAACCTATGATAGACGTGGTGGTGGGTCAGCAGGACTAATACAAACATCCGTCATGGGCCCATTCGTCCACTCCACTTGCTGCTAGACAGCCACTGGAGAGGGCACTAGATCAGGGTGAAGGCCCTTTTTCCTGCAGATGGCATTAACCACAACCCCTTCCTGATGGAAATCTAAGAAAACTGACATCTTAGACAAAGACTGTGATAAAACTGGAGTGATGGGCAAAGAGAAACTCATCAACAAAACTGCAACTGACCTTTAGGGATGAGTTCATGCTGCACAAAAGTGATGTATGAGTTTCTGTCCATGTTGGGACAAAACTAGACAGTGCTTGTGCAAATGCAAGTTTGCTCTTAAAGTCACACAGAGATATGATGCTTTCACAAAGTCCAATTAGTTTGATGTATTTATCGTATTTCCTGCCAGATCACAAATAAAACAAGGCTCTAGGGCTCTGACAGTTGAGCGGCTTGTGAAAGCACTCGTTAGCGTATACGGTGACTTTGAAAAAGCTGCACAAGAAGGAAGCCTATAAAAAGAAAGAGCCAAGGATGATTCCTCGTGGAACACCACAACCCAACGGATCCATCGAAGACATAAATATTCTCTCATTACTTTTTGCAATTTTTTGTCATTTGAGGCAATAAAATCAATAATATTTAACTTTTTATTCAATTATCCCCACAACATTTTTGTTTTTAGGAGCAGAAACATGCCCTACCAAATGTCTAAACAGAACGTCTTAGTGATAGGTGTGAAAACAAATGTCTTCTAACTCTAAGGCCCTGTCCCAATACCTGCACTACGGAGTGCACTTGGGGAAAGTGCATGAAGAGTAAACAAGTGTACAAACAACAGCAGAATTGGGGCAGTGAGCCTTGCATCATCGACTGCAACTTTCTAAATGGGGATGCTGGTCAGTGCTGTGCTAACATGCTGGTTGAAATGGTTTTAAAAATGAAAGAATTTAAAATAAGGGATTAAATTAAAATACACACCAGCAGTTATCATATAACAATATTTGTCAACAAACATGTAATGCATCTTTCTAACAGAGAAATATTTTATTGTGATGAAATATGTACACAATAATAAAATACTCAATATTTCAATTATATTTGAAAATACATATTTTCAGAAAGGGCACTTGAGCCATTTCTCTGCCCTTTTAAAAATTCTAATGCAGCAATAGATTACGTGTAATGTTGCATCAGTGTAGATCAAGGGTTAAAAAAGGGGGCGTGGCCCAAGTTCACACCTGAGAACTGGGACACTACGCACTCGCACCCATGGACAGGAATGCACAACTGAGAGGCACAAGGGTGGAAGTGTGAGCATTGGGACAGAGCCCTGTTGGATTGTGTGTTACTGACCCAGCGTAGCGTAGTAGAAGGGGAAGTCTCCCAGGTATCCAGAGTACTGCGGCAAAGCAAACAGACCCCCAGGGTGACTGTTCCACATCAGGCTGCTCCTGGAGCCGTGCTCCAGCACTCGGTCCTGGATGATCTGCAGAAAGAAGACCAGTACCACACCGGGTTCAGTGCTTCTTAACAGAAAATTAAGTTAATTAATGATTAGCAGGTTAGAAGAGATGTTTGTTTATTTAAGTAAAAAACAACTCTGTAATTATTTTGGACATAAAAAAGAGAAGATCTGAGGGACAGACAGCAGTGATGGTCACACTTTTACATACATGACTGTGTCCATTTCTAGAGATTCTGAAGCAAAAATCTGAGTCCATCCACTAATACTGGGTTTTTTATTACCACATCTGATGTCTGTTGAAGAATAAATGCAATTCTTCAGGTAAAAACTGATCAGTACTTTAAAAAGTTTGTGAAAACAACCTTAAATTACTGACGAACTTTTGTATTTGACCTAATTCAAAAGGCAAATCAAGGCTAATATTTCATAAACTTACTGAATGATTGGAAACGTCAAAGGACAGGACTAAGAGTTCTCTCCAGCTTCAAATAAAGGCCTTTTACTTTCAGCCACTGAAAAAAATCCTCATATTAATTATTTGAGTTTCATCTCTTTAGTTTTCTAAAATGACCTTTTCATTCGCCATCAGTTACCAAAAAAAGACTAAAAAGCAACACAAAACTGCCTCATAATCCACTTTAGTGTGGTCGCAGAGAACTCATAAAAATCTGAATTATGTGTGAATAAAAGAGGATCGTTGGCTGCCCAGATTACAGAGGATGAAACAGTAAGGATTCGACCAATGAGCCGTGTGATCACGTCGATAAAAACAAAAAGTTACTGAGAAATTCGTTTTCACACAAAAAGGAAGTAGCAGATCATCAGAAGTGAAAATGAACGTCACCAGTAACCTTCTTTCGATCTAGGACGCCACTAAAGAGCCATCTGGTGATGTAAAGTCTACAGGTGAGGACGTTTGTTTTGTCTCACCTCAAATATCGATTGAGTGAAGCTGCTGCACAAAGCGAAGCTCAAAGAAAAGCGTGTTTTTCTGTGATATTTCCCTCAAAAACGAAGCAGACGAGGTCGGATCAGAAAGCCAAACGCTCCTGCAGCAGTCAGTCACACAGACAGAAGCCACGGGGGGGCTAGAGGTGAAGTAATCAGCTGTATCTGAGCATCAGTCTGTCAGACTCGCCGCAATCCTTTCTGGGCCCAAATAGAGCAGTCAGTCAAACGGGCAGACGTGAGAATGGACGCCGTTTTCCTCAGCTGCACCTCACCGTCTGCTGAACGGCAAAGCAGAGGGGAGAGATATCGCCGCTGTGCCCTTGAGCCATGCTAAATTGCGTCAGTAAAACAGACACAGGTTTGCAGGCGTGTTTTATAGCTGCTGTTGACTCAGGAGGTGCTGGCTGGTGGCTTGGTAACTCCAAGAGGAGATCTATAACACAGTGGGCTTGTTGATGGCTGTTCAGACTGTTAACGGCTCATGATACAGCTGGAGGGGTGCTGGCTGCAATAACACCGACACCACTAAAGAAAAATTTATCACAGACAGGAAGTGATGTGAGGAAAAACAACAACACTGTAAGTTTCTTTTACTTTTCCGAGCTCCATCCCCGAGGGCGGTCGATCACCGTTTGCCTCAGAAAAACAGATTAACTCCGAACCCACTGACTTCTCTATAAAAACGCTGCCCGCCACCTTCAAACCCCGCAGCCCTTTACACCTTATGACGGGCAATTTTGCTCGCTTGGCTGCGGCTCCTTCCCCGTCGGCAGCCCTCAGTCGCACATGATGAACGACTCAATCTCAGCTCAGAACAGCCACAATCAACCAATTAGAGCATGATAGATAAATCCTGCTTCTGCGGGAGCACGCTGCGGACTTGACTTTAATTGGTGGGTTTAATGGGTGTACCAGCAGCGTGAAAGCCTGTCTGAGCTTCTGATTGGCTGAAACGACACCGTCCTCACTGAACACGTTGCAGATAGGCTGGTTCCTTTTTAAACCCAATGGCCATCAGGACGTTTTCAGAGCAGACAAACCAGAATCATGAGAGATAAAAGGAATTTAATTTAAACTACAAATAGAGATTAAACCTCCAGAATATTCTGAATCTACAGGGATAATTGGCTTTGCAGTAGAACATCTTAGAATCCAAATCAAAACATTCGGGCTGCAACGTCTAGTCGACGTAACAGTTTTTATTGTAGCTTTTATTAGACAACTTTGGTCCCAAAGAACCACAACTTGGTTTTCATTACCGTAATGCACAACGTGAACATAAGGGGGCAGCAGTGTTTTCTGCTGTTTCCAAGACTGCACAACTACCAGTGAAGAAGGAAGGAAGTCGAAGTTGACTCAGGAAGCTTTGACCAAAATAAATGAAAAGTAATTATTAGCTGCATCCATATGGGCTGCATGGTGGCGCAGTGGTTAGCACTGTTGCCTCGCAGCACGAAGGTTGCAGGTTTGAAACTCGGCTGCGGCCTTTCTGCGTGGAGTTGCGTGTTCTCCCCATGCATGCGTGGGTTTCCTCCGGGTACTCCGGTTTCCCCCACAGATCACAACATGCCCTATAGGTTATAAATTGTAAGTTGCTTTGGATAAAAGCGTCTGCTAAATGAATAAACATAAACATATAGAATATTACTTTCTAATGTTTTCTGAAAGCTGGATTTTATACTTTTGTATGACTATAAACAAAAGACGGGAACTGAGCAGTTAATACACTAGAAAACATCAATAAACTCTGATTTTAATTTAAAAAAATTATTTGTTTAAAAAATAGCAAGTAGATTTCTGCACTTGTTGGGAAAGTTGAAGTAAAATAAATACAACAGCATCATCTAATCAGGAACCATACGAAAATAATAACATTAAAGCAAAGCCGAACTTCATTTGCTTCAATTATCTCGTCTAAAAGAGATGTTTGAGACAGAAGACACAATAACACACAGCTGCCAGGAAACTGGAACAGCAGGGAGAATTTTATGAACTTTAAGGAGATTATTCGTGAGCCAGGTTAGCCTCACCTATCTTGCTTATTTTACTTCTAGACAGCCACAAAGACTCTGAGAAAAAGTCCAACCACTCACAACAAAATCCTTACGCAAACATTTCCAGATGTTTTAGAGACACTCTTGCAAACGCCACTGGGCTTTAGTTTAGCTTCAGTCCTAAATAAGAGCTTCTCCAAACTGAGGCCGATCTGCAGTGAGACAATCGTAACCTCTCCACTCAGACACACTGAAACCAGTCTGAACCGCCTCTTCACGGGTTTTAATTAAGACACAAATAAAGTTTAGAGAAATAAGCCAGATGTGATTGTAAAGAGGGAATTAAATCCAAAGCTACAAGAGTGTGTGAAATATAAATTTTCATGTGTGTGTGTGTGTGTGTGTGTGTGTGTGTGTGTAGTCAACAGAATAAATCTGCCATGTCTCCCATTATCTTGAGGTCGGCCGCAGCAGCTCCATTTTTACACATTTCACCCTTTCTTCCACCACTCTGCTTCTCTCTGCTGTATTTTTCACAGACAAATCAGTCAGGATAAAACCAGCCATTCCTGTAATTAACACACACACACACACACACACACACACACACACACACACACACACACACACACACACACACACACACACACACACACACACACACACACACACACACACACTCTGAGGCTTTCACAGTGTCAACTTGTACTTCTGAGTGGAGTGACAGCGTGTCAGCAGGGTTATGCCTCAGTGTCGTATGTATGCACATCTTGATGTAAGCAGATGTATCAGATTGTGTGTGTGTGTGTGTGTGTGTGTGTGTGTGTGTGTGTGTGTGTGTGTGTGTGTGTGTGTGCATGTGTGTGTGTGTGTGCATGTGTGTGTGCGTGTGTGTGTGTGTTTAAACTGAACAAATCATGGAGCGATTTTGTCCACTTTAGAGACCTTAAACACCGTGTTAACGCTTCCTGAAAACCATCAGTCACAAATAGTTGAGCAGCATTTGTTAGCTGAGATGGTCAAACTGTTTTTGCAGCCGTTCTTCAAATCAGGGCTGAAAAATAAGATTTAGTTGTGATTTGGGTCCTTGAAGTCATCAACAACTGATTTTCCTTCCATCTACGAGGCATCCCTGGAGGGTAACACTGTTCAGATGTTATTACAGCCAACAGCTTTTATACCTTTATATCACAAAACAACCATTTTAAAAAACAACATCGATAAACTTTGGCAAAATTTCCCATTAAGATTTTCCTCAGTTCTTTGAAAAGCTGCACAGAACGAATGACCTTCTGTTTTGATTTCAGCGTTAAATTACTCAGACTCTGATGACACGACGGCTCTCTGAGAGGAAGATTGATGAAAGAGGAAAGAGAATAGAAGAGGGCAGGAAAGGTTGGACGACCAGGTGGTTGTGTGTGTGTGTGTGTGTGTGGGGGGGGGGGGGGGGGACTCCTCACCTCCAGTGTGGTCAGCACAATCTTCTCCACAGAGGAGAAGTACGCCTCCCAGAGGAACTGAGTCTGCTGTCGGAGGGACAGGATCTTATCCTGGTGGATGGAGTGGACCGTGGTCGGAATCTGGAACCACAAATGGAAAGAGGTTAGCGCTTCCAGCAGATAAACTAAACAAAAACATAATATTCTCACTTCTGACAGGTTTAAATCAATGATTCTTTGCGTGGGGTCTGGGCCCTACAGTGGGTCACCAAATACTACGTCTGAGGTGTTGCGATGATTTCCAGAAAATAAACAGAACTGGAAAAAAAAATAAGTTACTATACTTTCACCAGTTGTGTCCACTGTTCACCAGCTCATGTGCTGCTGATTTTTTAGGCCAATATCTGAATTTTTTTGCTTTATTTGTGCACAAAAATATAATGCATTGAACTTATATAGCGCTTTTCTAGACACCCAAAGACGCTTTCACACACTCTCACATTCACACACTGCTAGTGATGGTAAGCTACTTGTAGCCACAACCGCCCTGGGGAGGTCTGACAGAGGTGAGGCTGCCATTTGGCGCCGTCGGCCCCTCTGACCACCACTAACACAGGCAAGTTGGGTGAAGTGTCTTGCCCAAGGACACAACAGCAGGATACCCCTGGCGGGAGCTGGAATCGAACCCATGACCCTCCGATCTTGAGGCAACCCGCTCTACCACCTGAGCTACTGCTGCCCCACAAAAATATCTCTAATATCACTTTACAATCCGCTTAAGAGTTTTAAAATCCAACATTTAAACACACAAATCAATAGACTGACAAAGTGTTACCCCAAAGAATACCACAATAATGACATAATGTTTTAGAGCATTTATGAAGTGCATTCATTTTTTTTCTTTAATAATTCTTAACTTCTTTATGTAAATAGAATGGAATAGCCTTAATTAATCCCACAGTGGGTAAGTTCACTCGTTAAGGCAGTACATACACTTAGAGAATAGGAAACAATAATACAGGAAAATACACAAGGGCACTAGGCTATTATTGTAGCCTTCGGCAATTCAACTCAACTTTATTTATAAATCGAAGCCTTACAGGCAAAAAGATGCCACCAAGGCGCTACACAGACCAAGTAAGAACATAAAACATTAAATCCAGAAAATAAAAACATTGTATCACAAGGTACAGATAAAAATACAGTGAGTGCACAGATCGCTATAACAATACAAACTAGTTAGAAAGGTTAAAAGACAGATCATAAAAGTAGGTTTTTAGCCATGCCTTAAAAACCGCAACAGAGGTGGAGGCCCTTATGCCGACAGGAAGCTCGTTCCAAAGCGTAGGACCTGCCACAGCAAAGGCCCTATCACCACGTGTCTGTAGGCGTGTTCTTGGGACCGAGAGGAGCATGAGGTTCTCCGAGTGGAGTGACCAACAGGGGTGTACGGTTGAAGCAGTGACACCAAGTAAGGAGGGGCCCGACCATTTAACGTTTTAAAAACCAGCAAAAGTATTTTAAAACAAATCCTTACATCAATGGGCAGCCAATGAAGCGCAGCCAGAACAGGAGTAATGTGGTCATTTTTGCGTCTGCCCTCTAAAAATCTGGCAGCAGCATTCTGCACCATTTGCAACCTGGCTATTGAGCCCTTGCTCACACCGAATAAAACAGAGTTACAGTAGTCCAATCGCACCGTGATAAAGGCATGGACTACCCCGTCTGAAGATCATGTCGTGACAAGAAAGGTTTGATCTTTGCCAGCCGACGAAGGCGGAAAAAGAAGGAGGAGATCACTCGATTGATGTGGTTATCAAAACTAAGGGCGCTAACCGGTTTAACACCAAGATTAGTCACTGATGCAGTCAGCTGGCCATTAAATGACCCACAGTCAGTTAGGGAAGAGTCACAATGTCTGCTTGGAGCAAACAATATAGCCTCTGTTTAGTGAAAAACATTCATAAAATAGACAAGAGTTTCCAAAAATGAACTGCATAAAGGACACAGGCATACAAACGTGATCAGGGTGCTGCACACATTCTGATGTTAGTGTGTAACAGGATAATGCCAGTACCAGTTCAACTGTGGACTTATAGAGTCTTAGTGTAGTGGGAATGAATGACCTATGGTAGCATTCTGTTTGACATCTAGGATGTCTCAATTTGCCACTAAAAGAGAGGTCCATGGCCTCCATAGTGGATAAATTAAACCTTCTAGCGCTTTTGACTTAGCAGCACTATCATAGCAAACCTCTCATTTCTGAGACTTCCTGTCTGGATATCCAGAATGTGCCTGGCTTTAAAACAGCTTTACTAAAAATGTATATCAGCTGATGCAGATATATAAACGTTAGTAAATCAGTCTGTTCCTGATCTAAACAGAGACTCTTTCTGTCTTTTACTAATGAACCAGAATAAAAACTTCTCAGCTTATTTGGGCCGTTACAATTAAGGCTGTCCAAGACTGTAGGGAGGTAGAACATCTTTCTGTTAAAGCGGTCATTTCCACCTCTGAGCTTCTTTAAGAGGTCAAGAGTCAAGTCCTGATTTCTGTAATGTCAGGCAGACGCCGGCGCTTCTGGAGATGCTTTAATTTACTTTCCTGGCTGTGAGCAGCATGACAGGATCAAACCTGCATCCACGTCTGAGCGGAAACGTTTGAAGCAGAAGCTGCACTGAACTTCTCGCCCAAGTCTCAGCAGCAACGCTAATGAGTGCGTTTACCAAAACGTCTGACTTTTTCTTTCAAATTTGACCCCAGCTGGGTTTAAAGTGAACTTAACCAGCAACTGTCTGGGAAATTCCTTACCCTTACAGGTCAAAGAGACGTTAGTTTGGCTGAAAAAGGAAAAGGAACAAACATGGTTGTGTAGAAACATGAACACTGATCTTGTTTAAGGAGAAGAACTCACTCAAAAAAGTGTGTTTTTGTTACTTTTTTAATCAAATAACTTTAAAAAATATTAAAAACTTAAAATTTTCTACTATGGTAAGTGATTTGAATCCATTTACCCCAACTCTGTCAATAAATCTGTCAGTGCGTTACAAACATGTTTAAAAAGAAAGACTTTAAAGCCCAACAGAAACATGGATCTGTGCATTTAAATTACAATCACAGAAATGTGCAGAATGATCCAGGATGACATAAACACTTTTGATTCTGCACATTCTCTAATGTCAAACATTATTATTGTGCACTTCATTCAAATTAAGATTTAATGGGCATATAATTGCTTTTTTCTCTATGAAGCTCAAACAGTTTAAACTGAATCCAGCTGTGCTTTCTGTTTACTTGCCTTCTCATTACAATTTGAAGCTTTAAGGGATTTCTATGCTGCTTCAGTTTTGCTTGGTTGAAAAGAACTCGTAACAAAAATAGAAAACAAAAATGAGCAGAGGGTGTGTTAGGAGTGTGTGTGTTCTACCTGCAGCAGGAGCCTCTCGTCGCCGATGACCGCCGCTGTGTTCCAGTCGATGATCTCGGAAAAAGGCAGCTCCCAGCCGTTGCTCAGCATCACGGGCACACAGGCAGCCTGGGACACAAAGACGGAAGCTTGGCTCAACGAACACCAACAGTCCTGCAGCTACGTGACGAATACCTCACCAATACCGATCATTAAGTTGGACAGATTTATCACACACTGGGGAGTAAATATCTGCTCTTCTGGATTTTCCACAAATAGGAAATGAATGAGCAAAGTGAGGAGAGGATGTAGGCAAAGATCCATCGGAATGTTGAACTTTTAGCCTTTATTGTCTTGAGTTGGAACGGTTGAGACCACATGGTGAATAACATCCTAAAACATCAGCCAGCACTGCTGTTTTTCATAATAATTTACTGCTTCATGGTTCATTAATCACTCAGCTTGGAAAGGAAAATCGTGTTAGCAAAACTCAGAACCAACGGGGGGATTCTAACAAACCTTTACAGGAGGGTCAGTCAGGCTATTTCTACGATTGTGCAGAATGCTGAATTAAATATTTAACCATAACAGCTGGAATTTAAGAAAAATATCTATACAGCAGAATATTTTATATTTGATGTTCCCAAATCCATATTGAATTTCCTGCAATTTAAACTTTGACAGCAAGTGAGCAGGAGTTTTTGTGTCTTCATTTTGTTGGAAGAACGAGATCTAGTGATAGCCCTGACCTGGCCTGAGTTTTCCCAATTAAATTCAGTCTTAAAAACTGCAAATATCGCAATATATTGTGTATAGGAGTACCAAATTCTTACCACTACACACCCCTGATATCATATATAATTTTCTAATTTCTAATCATAAAAGGATTATAGTTGGAATGTCTGGTATCAAAGGTGGTGGGGGATATTCAATCCTGAAAGAAAGCCATAATCTTATTCATCTTTTTCCTTTTATTCCTGCTGTAAACTCCTTTATTAAGTCATTCACTGCAAGTTTTTACTGTGTGGGTGTCGTAACAAGCCCCCGCACCGTGAGAACAAACATCCCAGCTCTAAAGCCGATCTTCATCCGTGTACGTCACACATCACGTGATCAGGAAGCAGAAAATCCATGTGTTAGAAGATCGTTTTGGGCCTCTGCTGTAAAAATAAGTGAGGCGCGAACCAGAAAAGCTTCTGCGGATCACAATTCAACAACAGATTATGAAAGAACGGATAACGCTCGAAACGTGCAGATTCTTCCTGATGTAAGAGGTGAGTCTCCACTTTGTTTCAGTTGTTTTGGCGTCGACATCATCCTAGTGCGCAACGTTCTGTGACACTTAAAAAGACAGTAAAAATGGTGAGAAACGCTGGCAGCAAATGAGTTAAGTAAATATTAATGGCTGTCACTGAAAATGAAATGAAACAAAAAGCATCCTAATGCATGGATATTAATATCAGATGCCTTAAAGCTGCAATAGCAAATTTGGAAAAGAAGTTAGCTTAAAACATTTTTAAGCTAACAACGTTCTAACATAGTTTACCTCTTGTGGAGGTTAAAAAAACAAAATAAAAAAAGTATAAAGTAGCTTTCTTGCATTTGTCTAAATAAACCTCCGCCATACATTTCGAACTGAAAGCAACCATTGTTGTCTGTCTCGCCGAACCGCTGCACTCACCTGGGTCCTCTATTCATTACACACTTGCAAGTTTATCAACAGAGCACACTGGTGTGAGAAGTTCTCTGCTCAATAGAATCAGAGAAGGAGAAACAGCCGGCTGCTACCACTTCAACTTTAGGACAAACTACCAGAGTCCCAAAAAGATCTTTGGACCTAGAAAACGTTGACTGGTGTTTAGCGCTCTCGTTTCCTCTAGCAATGTGGGTTTCCGGTTCTGGTGGATGCAGACCCAGTGAAGATACACAAGGGGAGGGGTAAGTGTTTCTTGGCTGTGTTTGCTGATTCACTATAGCAGCAAGAAAATTTTGGCATTTAAAGTGTTTAAAATATTCATGATGACATCACTGCCATAAAACCACAAAATTCACAGCTTCTTCAAACTAAAAAATGAGATTTGCGCAACTTAAAGAGCCACCAAAATGTCTTCTTTTTACTTGGAACACAGGTGGAGTGAGAGGGCATATTTTTGTTGGTTGCAATCTGTAACTTTGCCACTAGATGGCACCGAATCTTACACATTTTAACTGATTACTAGTCTTGCAAGAACCGTAAAGCAAATGCATCATGACAATAAGCTGTGTGAGTGTATCTTTAAATAGTTGAAGCTGTATTTATTAGTGTTTTTTCCCCTGAGGGACAATGTAACAACCTTTAATGAAAACGTTGTCCTGTAATTGCCTCATTAAACAAATCCAGTGTGTGCTTGTGGTTTTATTTAATGATGAACAGCGAGAAAATCAGTCTTCAGTTTGAACTCTTGTTGATCAAAATATCCAATTAGAGCCGCTAAATGCTTTACTCACTCACCAGCTTCTCACCTTCTATTTCTAACTCGCTACAATTGAGGTTAAAGACAATAAGCTCAAAATGCTTTGCATTGAACGCAAAGCTGCCATTGTGTAAACTGGCATTATTTAAAGGTAACAATAAACCCGCCCAACCTGCAAGGGAGATAAAAAAACAACATGCATCTGAGCTGGGGGGGGGGGCTTTGCTTCACAACTGGATGAAGTTAAAGCAGCGACTTCGCAGAAAAAAAATGAAATCTTTCAATTGCTTTAAAAGCCCGAACACCAAAGAAAGAGGAACAACACTTCAATAAAATGTCCTAATGAAGATGTTCTGCGCTGTCCTTTTTAGGAGGACAGTTGGTTTAGAGAATTTGAAGAGAGTTCATTACTCAGAGGAGACGAGCAGGAGGGATGATCAACAGATCAAACGGCAGAAGAAAGTGGATCCATGGACAAAAAAAGATGAAACGAGTAGAGATAGTGAGGCTGAATGTGACCTTTGGCTAAGGAGGGGCACGGCTAGAGGGAGCAGGTGGCGTGTGTGTTTGTGTGAGTGCGCGTGTGCGGTGGGAGTTTGATGTAATGACGGCCCTGTCACTCCAGGGTCATAAAGGTGTCAGCTAAAGCAGAACGGGGCCTCTGGGCTCTGCTGCACACTCACATGCGTGTGCACACAGACAGACAGAAAACTGACCTTTGTACAGAACAGAGTTCTCATGCAACGGCCCAAAAAGCCTGCAGAGCCTCTACCCTTCATCTTCAACTTCTGCACATGAAGCTGATGGACGATGGGAGTCAGACAAATGGAGAAAAGAGAAGAGAGGGCATGTTTCTCTCCTGAGTGAAGTGCAGTGTGTGTGTGTGTGTGTGTGTGTGTGTGTGTGTGTGTGTAGCGGCTGATAAGCCCACTTTTCGGTGCACTCTATGAGCAGAAGTGTTGGGTAAGGAGAGGTAAAGGACAGTGCGGTTGCAACACCGGAGGGGGGGAACCAACAGAGAGGGGGGCCCCCGGTAGCAGCACATCGCCATTTTAGCCAAGTTTTATCTCAAGCCTGAGTTCCAGTTTAACCGTGACAAACTTCTAATAGTTGGAAGAGACAATCCTGCACCGCTCCGGCTGAAAACATTCACGATTTATGGTGGAAGAGGTTCAGTTGAGAGCCCACCTTGTGCTTGTTTACAGATTTATAACTCCAGAAACGAAACCATACAGAAAAATGCTGCATCATGATTACGGTTTGAATGTTTTTACGATATTTATAGAACATGTTGAAAATAGGCCAAAAGCCCTCTTACTCTAAACATTTAAAGTGGTAATTACATAATGATCAAGTGAGAGTGAGTTGGTAATAAATGGTCTTTCCAGTCATTTTCCCTGGAAGGCTGGAATTCACACCTGAGATAATGCAATGTCAGATTAGGGCTGATTTTTTTTTACCTGCAGCGCCTCGAGGAAGCGGAAGGATCCCAGCCGTCTGCCCCGAGGCACCAAACAGAAGGTGGAGTTGTGAAGCATTTCCTTGTAGTCGAATCTGCAGAAACACAAACATCCTGTGAGTTCACAGACACAAAATGTTCTTGAAAGAGAAAACGTGAGTAATCAGGCAGTAATGAGGCACACTCGAGCCCTTCATCAACAGCTCTTTGTCTAGCAGCGGCTGGATGAGGAGTCTCGATCATCACAACAATATTTGCATTAAAGAGCTAAATCAAAAGCACTCGAAGCAAACTAAAAGTCTCGGTTTCGTCTCATTTTTATTTCATGAACTTCCTCTTTCTTCTTTCCTCCTCCTTAGTCTTTTTCAGTCTCATCTCCCTCCTCCTCTTCCAGCTCCCTGATCCCTCCGGTTCTCCACTGAGGTGTGTCTTATTGCTCTCCAAACAGGGTGATCAACCCTGTCAGAGGTAATGAGCTGAGAGTGACACCTGCTTCCACCACACAGCTGGGTGTGTGTGTGTGTGTGTGTGTGTGTGTGTGCGTGTGTGTGTATGTGTGTGTGTAATAAACTGAGACGGAAACAGAGAAACGGAGTGTATCTGAGCATCAGCCTGTGTGTTCATCCCACTTTGCCGTGTTTTGACAGGTACGTGTATAAACTGTACTATCATAGACGGATGGCTTTATGGAGATGTTCAAACATTTGGCTTCACCTGTTTCTCTTCTAACTCTCCCCCTTCCTTCTCTCATGTAAACTCATTTTTGTCTCATCTCTTGCTAATTTGTCGCTCATTAAGCTGAGCTGGGACGGATTGTGGTTTCCTTTTGTGAGGGTTCGAAGTTTCCTGGCATGAGTCTTCAAGTCTTACTCTTGAATGGCAACAACGAAGATACAATTTTAGGAGGGGCTGGCAAGCTAACTGCAAAGAAAATGAGGGTAAATTGCAAACTAATGCATGAAGTATATTTAAAGGTCTATAGTGTGACTGAATGCCTTTGAGTCAGCAGGATTCTGAGTCTTACTAATTAATATTCATGATATGCAAACATCTCACTACTGATTGGCGGGATGCACTTCTACTAGATGTGTAAGTGGCGGGTGATATGATAGACATGTTCAACCCACAAGCTTCCTTCCAACCGGGAGTGCTTCAGATGCGAACAGGGAGCAAATGCGTTCCACAAAGTCACAAAATCACAGGAGAACTGCAAAACCACGCATGATTTTGTAAGTTCACACAATAACAACCAAGGAGGCACAATGCAATAGCAAAATCTGCACAAGTGTCACTTATTGGTCATAAACCATAAGAGACACAGTTACAAATAAAACTTCTCGCAAAAGCGTCATCTAGACCAACTCGCCGTGATTCGTAATTTTGCGTCTTTACAATAATAAGTGCTTTTATGCATTTTCTGCAGATTTCTTGTGAAATAAAGCACAAAAAAATAAAATTCAAATGATAAAAAACAAGGGATTCTAAACAGGCATCCCTGAGGAACACCGAATAAATTGCTATCATAACAGCATTTGCATTTTGTGAATAAGAGTTTCTCCTTCATGCTGTCCAATGTAATCTCTATTAGTAGCATGGCTGCCAATTTTACAGAAAAACAACCACGACTTATCATTTTGTTATTATACATACAGTGTTCTTTAGTATTTGTACGTAAAAAAATAAATAAACAGAAACACGCCCATTTCAGTCGGTTTGGATTTTAAAGACTTGTGCAAACAAGGTGAAGGTTACAGGAGACCAAACAGGCTCTTCAGCACTGGCAGAGCGGTGGATGTACTACACTTTGTGCAGAAGTGCGACAGTGATTGCTGATGCTGCCTTTGGTGTGTTCCTGTGGATATCCATATGGATCCCGCTAAAAGGTCAAAGCTGGAAGCCCTATGTGACTGCTGCTGTTGCTGCTGCCAAGATGCTGCCCTCGTCTCATCTTTAGCTCCACTAATGTGCGAGAACATGACAGCCTGTGATAAAAATCCCACCCTCCTTCACACCTACATGTGCGGCGCTCGACGCGGCTCATAACACACTCTTTGCACAGATTCACGGAAACAAACGCAGAGCGAACAGGCGACAGCTGCACGCCCTCACACTGCCGCTCCGTCACCTGTCGATGGAGAAGAAGAAGAAGCTATCTTAGCCCATATTTCCGCACCAGCTGTCTGCTTGGACGGTGCGTGAGTAAGTAACAGCCCACAAGACAGACCGACATCTGATGGCAATGAATATAAATGTGGATTTTAACAAGCAGCAGCCCTGAAACTAGTTTAAACTGACAATTACGCTGTTCTCCTGACTCAGATTTAATATCAGACAAATGTTTTACATTTGTTTCAATTTGGGCTCAACTGTCACAAGAAGTTTGGTACTATAAAACCCAAAAGGGAAACGTCATGGGTTGTAAATAAACAGACATCTTCAAATGATTGGAATTCTACATAAAAAAAACATTTTAGTCTGACCGCAAACCTTTATTTTGTCTCTTTTGCTCCATTAAGTGTCTTTGATATTCTGAAGTCCAACAGTCTTTTCCTTCTTTGTTTTCCTTCGTTGCTTCTTTTTCTTTTCCTGCTTCATCTGTTATAAAGCTGCTCTTCAGCTTCATCTCTGTGGGAATACCACCAACAAGCTCCAAATTTGCAGGATGTGTGTGTTCACGACGTTGCCTTTTTTTTTTTTTTTTTACACACAATGTGTGATGCAATGTGGAAGTGCAAGTTTGAAACAAGAGTTAATGAAGAAAGATCTACTAACTTGTAGGGGGAACAAATAAAGTTGGATGATAATGAGATGCTTTCCCTCCTCATCTTCAGTGCCAATAGCAGAATGCTACGCTGTTGCTATGGTGACGAGTCATTAAACATCCTCATTTCCTTTGTTTTGTAATTACAAGAGCAGTGCATCCAGTGAACGTGAGAAATGCATTCAGATAAAGTTCAGGTTCTGTGTGACGATCAGAACCAGCAGCAGGACCGCCTCCGGAGGGTCCAGCCTGTTTGATAAGATGATTCACGATGATAAAAAGAAGTAGATCCTCATTTGCCACAATTGTCTAAAGGAGAAACCTCAGAAACGGAGATGATTTTCAAAAAATAAGATCTGTTTTTAGCTCTTTGTAAGCAAAAGATTGGGATTTCTGGAAGTAACTTTAAACAAAAGGTGAAAAATGGGCAACTTTTTGCTAAACATCTCCTGAACCACTGACCAGATGGCATGAAACTCAGAAAAGAATCACTGGATTGATGCAGCCGTCTCATTTCACACACAAGATGGTGAAATGTTCGCTAGATTTGACCCAAAAAGGTTTAAGCATTCCTTCCACCAACGTGAGCTCTTTGAGTCTTGCTTTAAGGCAAACTTCTGAAGAGGGCCAAAATTGTCAAAATTGGTTAAAACTGTCAGCGGGCTACAGAAATACTAAAAATTGCTCACAAACTGCAAGGATCAGATATTTTAGTAAAGATAGTAACATAAAAACGTAAAAAGTGCTCAAGAGACAACATTCTAGTAAAGCACAAGAACACTGAGGGCCGTGCTTTGGAAATGCCTGCTTTAAGGGTTTCATTTTTATTGTTTTATGCAAAAATCAAAAATACAGACTAGTACAGGTAGAGTTTAAAATGCTTCCAGTCACCGGAAAGATCTGATTCATTTAGACTAAACATGAAATTTCAATACATTTAGTTATTTTCTACATCAACACCATATGATTCAAGTCATTCTGTCCCATTTGGTTCATTTACGGATAAAAACCTTACAATGTAAAGCTGTTCATAGTTTTAAAAAGCTATTAGAAACAGTAAAATATTAAAAAAGGTATAATGATTTTGTTGTTTTTTTATTCGGTTTCACTGAGATGCTTTTATGTTGCTTGGTGCTTCTCTACTGGAACACAGCAGATGCCCCAGCTATCCGTCCTCTGAATGTGGCACTTCAGGGTGATGAAAACACTGAACCACAACCAGCCTGATTGTCTTCCAGAGAGCAGAAAGAAAGAGATCCAATTTGCTGCTTATTGAGACTGTTGTTACATCATCCTCCCGGACTTCTCTCTTGTCTCCCTCTTCACTCACTCACTAATTTCTTTGTCTTCCGACGCGGCTTTCTGTGTGAGGCTGGGAAATAATGGCCGTCTAGTGGTCTGGGGACACCTGGAGGAAGGGCGCGTTGCTTTGCTTTTTCTATACGATGCAGGAAAGAATCAGGTAAAAACTTTCAACACAGATAAATGACTCATGTTGAAAGAAATGCTACTGATAGCATACTTGCTTCCGATGGCGCCGAACAACGTGATGCACATTAAAGGACAAAAAAGCTGCTCATTATCATGGATGTCACACGCGTGCTCATCTGTCTCAGCAACAACTCAAAAACTGTTTAGGGACAGATTCCAGCAGTAATTAAAAAGAAGCCTCATGTTCCCCATAAACACAAAAGTGGAAGCTCAAACACACGATAGAGCTCGCTCCCTGGAGAATGTGACAGATGTGCGGGCTAAATGTACTTGTGAGTAACCGTGTGTGTGTGTGTGTGTGTGTGTGTGTGTGCGCATGTGCGTGTGAGAGAAGTCTTAAAGATGATAATGTGTGCACACATGAGTAGAGTGATAGATGTGAACTTCAAAGGCACCTGCAGCATTAGCTTGCATTGATGTCTTCTGTCCCATAAATTTCATCTCTACTTATTTCCCCTCCAGCTACGAGCTAATGTGTGTCAGCATCTGTAGGAGAGCATCCTGATATGTGCGTCCCCATATTGTTCAATCTTTTTCTTCTGCTGTTATAACCCTGATGTACACTCAGCAATTCATTCATTAGCCTAATTAGAGCTCATTAGCGAGCCTACCGGTATGCTAATTACCATTAGCATTTTAGCATGGCGTGTCAGAGGTTTACAAACAGGCCTTCTGCAATCCGACCTGTAACAAGCAAGTAACCGATGATTAGCTAACTGAGCCTGAAAATAAGAAGCATGCTAGCAAACCATGACACTTTAACTAGACAGAAAGATGGGCTACAGTTCGGTTGGAGGGGTGTTAGACTAAATTTCTGAGAATAATTAGACATTAGCTTTCCTG